GAGAGAGAGAGAGAGAGAAAGAGAGAGAGGGGGGGGTTATGTGGATGTGTACGTGTGAGAATGGAGAGGTGGGCGTGTTGATAGATGGTAGATAGCGCGTCAAGGTATGAGTTATAAAGATAAGTGTATTTGTTTGTTGGCTCTATTGCATGTTTGAGCGCATATGCATGTATGTGTGTCTTTCTGTATGCACGTTAGAGATGGGGAAGGGGGGATTATTTAATTTTTTTTTTTTGGGGGGGGGGAGGATGAGTAGAGGAATAGTAAATGGGCAGGAGACAACATGTAAAGGAGATAAGTGTATTTACTTGTTTGTGTTCGTGTGCGTGGAGTGCTAGGTTGTTGTTTTTAAAGGTTGATTGTACGTGCCATAAAAGAGCCATGATTCAGCGTGCTGACGATATTACAAGGTAAGGGTTGGTTTTATTGAAGCTTCCTCACGTTACCCTGCTGTAGATCGTGTTTGATCTCATCTTTTGGGAACGTGCTAAGACACACATTGGTGAAATCGGGATTCATTCGGGACGACAGCAGCCTATTATGTCTTGTGTTTGGATGATTTTGTGAGTGCGATTATGGACGTGGTTACGAAATATTGGGCTTAAGGTACCTTTTGTGGGTCAATTGTTGAGCAATGCACGAATACTTCGAGAGTTCTCTGTTGTGGTTTGTGCGTGGGAAAGAGACCTTAGTGGTACTTAGTGTATTTGTAGTATGCAGTTAATGTCTGAGTCGGTGAAAACTTTTTAATGTAGGTCTTGGTTCAAATAACCTATGCGAGGTCTTCGTTTTCTCGTGCGTGTTCATGTCTTCTGTGTGTCATTTCGTACGTGTTTCAGACAATCTTTCAAGGTCCGTATTCGCGATAAGGTACAAAGATCCGTCGGAGATTGTTTTAAGGGATTTTTCGTGTCAAGGATTTGTTTTAATCTTATCTGGAGACCCTTACTCTTCTCCGCTATCGTACTGTGTAAGTGTGCTTGCTCTGTCTTCTGAAACCAGTTTTTGTATGCTTTCTTTCTCTCAGGGTGTCGAAAAGTTCGAGGAAAAAGTAACTGCTTAAGGAAGTGGATCAGCGGTTCTGAACGAGTCTGCGGATATAAAAACTGAGGACGAACGGGAAAACGTTGGACTTTAAGGAATTCTCAACGGGATTAAAGGTAAGACGAGGACTTCCACTGGTTAACAAGATTACCTCTTTGGGAATGTAATTTCTTTACTCTAAGGAATTCACTCCCACCCCCACCCCCACCCCC